AACTGAGGAGAAATTTCCTGACAGAACAATTAATCAGTGGAACGTCTTGCTTCCAGAAGTTGTGAACTCTCCAACACTGGAAGTTTTTAAGATGTTGGATAACCATTTGTCTGGAATGGGACAGGGCTTCCTGCCTAAGCAGGGGGTTGGACTAGAAGACCTCCAAAGCTCCTTCCAACTCTGTTATTCTAAATTCTAAAATATTAGACCCGTTTCACACTTTTTACATTTTGTTTGGGGACAAGAATATTTTATAAGGTAACATCTTGGTGTGCTAATACATGTAATTTCTAACATATGTGGGGGGAGGGGTGTTTGACAGTTTTACAATGTTTTTGCTGAAAACCAGCAGTTTCTTCCCATTTTCGACAAAATTGTGCCATAGCAAATACTGGATTCATTTAAAGATCTTAACGCTCATTTTACAATCACGTTTAATGGTAACTGTGAAAGAGGTCGTATAATCAGGTCACACAACCAACCCGTTTTACAACCATGACGGCATACAACCTTAATGGTAAGGCTCCATTATGGTCCCATGTCAAGGACTACAGTATTTTTCAGAGTGTAAGACGCACCTTTCCCCCCCAAAAAAGAGGGTGAAAATCTGGATGCATCTTATACACTGAATACAGCATTTTTGGCCTCCCAAAATCCCCCCCCTTTGCAAAAATGGACGTACAGAGGGTTTGAGAGGCCTGCAAAGTGCTCCTGGGGGATGGGGAGGGCAAAAACGAGCGAAAAATGGGCCTTTTGCTCATTTTTGTCTCCCCAGGCCCTAGGAGCACTCTACAAGCCTCCCAAAGCTCTGCATACCCCTCCCCCTTTTTTGTGTGCAAAAAATGAGGCGTGCAGAAGATTTGGGAGGCCTGCAGAGTGCAAAAACTTTTTTTAAAAAAATTACCTCTTCAAAATCATGTTGTGTCTTATACTCCAGTGCGTCTTATAGTCTAAAAAATACGGTATCTCTATGTTCCCACCAAGCACAACATTTCCTCACCTGCTTCAAACAGCATTCAGGATGTTTCTCCACCCCGACCGGAAGTGACCTGTTTCTTCTTTCTTTGAACAGATGGACAATGAAATGGCCATTAATCAGACTAAGCTGCAGTTACAAGTGCATGGTGATGAGGAGGAAGAGGAGGAGGAGGAAGAAGAATCAGATTCCTAGGGTGCCAGTGTCGCTGTCAGGCCAGTTTCCCAGGACAGATTAACGAAGCCTCCTTGGCTTTGATGAAACTTTGTGTGGTGCTACAGAGACTAAACTCCAACCGGAAATGCCACTGAGCATCTCACAAACTTCCAAAGGCGGTAATAAAATCATGGGGCGGGTTTGGAAAATGGGAGCATTGAAGCCTAACTATGTAGCACGAGTCATTTTCTAGAGCAGACCTAATGTTTCAAAACATGTAGCAGTTCAGGAAATGAAGCTTTTGAAGCAATAATCTGTCCATGAAACATCTCCTCCCCGGTTGTTTAAAAAAAAAAAAAAGAGCTGGGACCACTTCTGTGCCAGTTGTTTTCCTGACCTTCCTATGGATAAATTGCACAAGAGTCCTGAAAAATGTGGGGATTTCCCCCCCACCCCCCTGTATATGACTCCTTAATTCTGCTTGGTTTGGGCCCGTTTTATGAAACTTATGTTTGAATTTTAAAAAATGTTTTGTTTACTATGGGTAATATTAAAAAATACTTTCCTAGCGGGCAGATGGCATGTCCCTCCTTCCGACAGATGTCAAAACGACTGTTTGCTTTGCATCGCTGGGGATAAGTTTCTGATTTTGGGGATTACAAATCACTCCCAAAATAGGAGGGTGCTTTTTGGCCCGGAAGCATAAATATTTTCATCCCCAGTTTGACTCTAAAATACGGCAGTGAATTGGCAGCTATTTGGCAGGCGGCATCCCATATATTGGCACTGTTTTCAGGGAGAAGCAAACCAGCTGGAATGGAATGGGGCAAGTTGCAAACTTAAAAAGGCAGGCACACAAGTGCAAGCAAGGACAACTATGTCAACTTTACAACTTGAGGACTTCTACCAGTTGAAGTCCTCAAGTTGTAAAGTTGCAATCATGGCCTACCCCTGCACAAAAGAGAGTATATGTTAGTCACCACCATCCTTAATTTTCTCTGTGTCCCTCCCTTGTGTGTGTCTTCTAGTCTTCCATACTCCATGTTGTTGAAAGTGAACAGCTGCTTCCAAGGTTTCCTATAGGCGACTTGGTACAACTGGTCGCTTAGGGACCATAGGAAATTTTAACAGACCGCTGAAATGGTTCTTACAACCTGGTTACAAAGTTTGGAATGCCAGCCACTCCTCCGCTGTCCCGCATGTCGGCCATTCTGTAACTGACCTGCCTTTATGGCAGTTTGCGGTGTCCCATGGTCACACAAGTGCGTTTTGGCTTTTGGCCAAAACCCAGTACAGGTAATCCTCAAGTTACAACCACAATTGAACCCAAAATTTGTGTTGCTAAGTGAGACCTTCGTAAAGTGGGAGTTGCCCTATTTTACGACTATTCTTGCCACTGTTGTTAAGTGAATCATTGCGTGTATTAAATTAGTAACACTCGTCAATCTGGCTTCCCCGTTACTTTGCGTGGCAGAAGGTCGCAAAAAGTCATCACATGACCCCAGAACACGGACATAAACATGAGTCAGTTGCCAAACGCTTGAATTCTGATCATGTGACCATGGGGATGCTGCAACCGTCATAAGTGTGAAAAGTGGCCACAAGTCACTTTTTTCAGTGTCATTGTAACTTCCAACAGTCACTAAACAAACAGTTATAAGTCGAGGACTATCTGTGGGTATGACAGTCCAATTGGGGGCTGGATTGCAAGGGGCAGCAGGGCAACAGCTATGCTTCATGGTCATCGTCCATCAGGTGCTATAGCATCTTTATACTCCATGCTGCATTGTCCACAATCCTCAGGTTTCCTAAAAATGCCCTAATTGATTCATGAGTATCGAGCCAAGTTTCAATACAAAACTAGTCATTTATTAGGAGCGCCATTAGGCAAGGCCTTTTTGCAGTCAGATCGGAGCTTTGAGTTATAGCTGAACTTTACTCCTGTTCGTTCCCCCCACCCCCGTCAGTCTGTGTCATAAATCACATTCCCCAATGAGGTGCACCCCTCCCAAGCCTGCTGCAGTAATCTGAGATCTTACTCTAACTGAAAGTATGTGCTCCTCCCCCCCCTTCCCTCACCATGACAACTTTAGGAGTTGACACCTCCATCTGGAGAAGGGAGATATCTGGAAGATGGGTTATGGGGTATTTGCAGATGGGTTACGCAGTGTTTGCAGATCCTTTGTTCAATCTCATGCCTGGGAGACCAGCGGCATAGCTAAATCCAGAAGTCACTTCCTCTCCCCCCCCCCCAAATGCCACCAAGTCCACCTTAAAGCCAACAGCCGTGTTGAAAAACCCCACAACTCTCCAAAGTGATTTTGTGTGACATTTATTCAATGTAAGATGCAGTTGCTCAACATTTGAAGAGTAAAATGATTAAAAGAAGTTTCCAACACAACGGATGTACAGAGTTCATGATATCTAATAACCTGGAAGGGAAATAATCTTGATGCCTTTAAAAGATAAAGAGAGAGAGAGAGAGAGAAATGCACTGATTCTGCCAGACAGTTTCCTATGGCCCATGCTCAACAGACAGATACCAAATTAACAGATGGAGGAGATGAATGCCACTAAGACAGTGTCTGTCTCAACCTTGGCCACTTGAAGATGGGTGGATTTCAACTCCCAGAATTCCCCACCCATCTTCCAAATGGTGAAGGCTGAAAAACACCGCACCAAGCCAGCCCAAAATATCCAACAAGGCAAATAAATAAATGCATCAGCAGTTGTGTTCATACTGACCCAGGAGTGGAGGCCAAAATAAAACAAAACAAAACCGCTACTCGGGCTGAAGGCCCACTAATGGTTTCCCACCAGTTCAGGACCCAGGGTTCTTCATAACTTCCACCTCAGCTTAGTGGCATCAAATCCATTTTTGGGGGGACCGTCTCGTCTAAAGGCAATCCCCCCCTAACTCCCGCTAACCGTTCTGACCAGGACTGGCTAAGCAAAAGCCGGAGGAAAGAAAGGGGACCACCAGGATATACACAAGGCTCACGGGACAAAGTCTGCAAAGGGCTTTGGACAGCAACCAGGCCCAGCAAGGCTCCCCATCATTCACTTCAACTTTTGCAGATTGGCGACTCAGAAGGGTCACATTTGGTCATTAAGAATCAAACACAACAGCTGTTCGCGCGAAGCCTCAAAAAGGGATTCCACCTGGAAAAGAATTTGGCACGACAAAGCTGAGAAGGCGCAGCACGGAAGCGGGACGGCAGTGGAGGGGGAACAGCAGGATACTTTGGAGTAGACAGGAAAAGGAAGGGGGGGGGAGGGAGGGTTACCCCAGAACAGCATGGCTCTAAACAGCGGGAAGTGGCTGGGGACACCAATGCGCCACATGCCATGCTCCCCAACCCCGGTGCGCGTCAATGGGTCTGGAGTGAGCAGTTCCGAGTCGGCCTCCCCCGTGGAATGGAAGTTGCATAGCAGCAGCAGCAGCCGGTGGAGTCTTCGTACCGTGGCCAGCGAGCGGCTCAGAGTCCGCTGACGTGGGTTGGAGTGCTGGGCTGGTTGAGGCCGATGGTGGAGCACAGCCAGCCCGCGAAGTCCACCTCCTCCGCTTCCGATCTTTTAATGAAAATGTGGACCTGGAGAGGGGAAGAGACAATAGCAACAGCACTTAGCCTTGTGTATTGCTTTAGGGTGTTTGACAGCCCTCTCTAAGCAGTTTACAGAGTCAGCCTCTTTGCCCTGAACAATCTGGGTCCTCATTTTACCTACCTCGGGAGGATGGAAGGCTGAGTCAACCTTGAGTTGGTCGTCCCAAAGGTGCTCTTCAAAAAGACAAGCGGACTTTCTGGCTTTTCTTTGAAGACGTTTCGCTTCTCATCCAAGAAGCTTCCTCTGCTCTGACTGAAGATAGATATCTATCCCCACCATCCAGTCAGAGCTGAAGAAGCTTCTTGGATGAGAAGTGAAACGTCTTTAAAGAAAAGTCCACTTGCCTTTTCAAAAAGCACCCTTGGGACAGCCAGGACCTGAGAATATCCACAGACATTTAACGATACACCTTGAGTTGGTCAGGATTGAACTGCTGGCAGTCAGCAGAGTTAGCCTGCAATACTGCATTCTAACCACTGTGCCACCATGACAGTAGAGTAGAAAGAATGGAATAAAATGGGATGGGATATGGATAAAATATGGACTGGACTGGACTAAGAATAGTGCTCACACTTAGACTTATATATCGCTTCATAGTGCTTTATAGCCCTCTGTAAGTGGTTTGCAGAGTTAGCCAACAATCTGGGTTTTACCAACTCAGAAGGATGGAAGGCTGAGTCAACCTTGAGCCGGTCAGGATCGAACTCCTTGCAGTGGGCAGAGTTAACCTGCAATACTGCATTCCTAATTTAACAACTGCACAGATGAAAGTTTGTAAAATGGGACAAAGCTCACTTAGTAAGTCTCGCTTAGCAACAGAAATGTAGAGCTCAATTGCGGTCATAAGCAGAGAACTGTCTGTAAACATGGTCAGGGAAGTATTGGGGTTACCAAGCAGATAAAGCAAACATTCCATAAATGCTACTTTATTGTTCAAGGGTATAATAACAGAAAGCTGAGCCCACTCGTATACTCAACAGAACAGGGAGGGGGTGTTTTCCTCTTCTTCTTTCTCTTTTCCCACCTGCGAGTTTTCTTCTTTTTCCTAAATGTTTGCTGCATGGTTGAGCTAGATTATATTCTTCTACAACTGTTTCTCTCAACCTTAAAAACTGTTTTAGATCAGTGGACTTCAATTCCCAGAATTCCCCAGCCAGCATAGGAGTTGAAGTCCTCACATCTTAGATCTGCCATGGTTGAGGAATACTGGGGTTGGCCAGTAATGAAAGGTCTTCGCCATTCACAAGTAGCTGCCCCAGGGCTCTTGCCTATCACAGCTACCCCAAGGGAACCATCTGGAACTTCTCCAAAGTTGAGTTCCACACAATTTACTTAGCCTGGTGATGTCTCCCTTGGACGACTCCTCAGATTCTTCCTCCGAGTTCCTGGCACATCAGGAACGGAGTTAATTAAAGACTCTGAACAGCCAGCTGAAAGAGATTTACTCGGCTGTGGACAGCTTGCAGGGGTCAGCGGTCAGTGAAGAGGAAGAAGAGGAGCTGCCTTCCATATTGAATCCGAGAGCACACAGGGCAGAGAAAAGACAAGAGCAATGGAGAACTGTCAGATTACTCTGGAGACAGCCCTTCCCATTTTGATGGGCTGCACTGGAAAGCTATTTATTGCAGAGGGGAACAATGTGTTTGGTTTATGGCTATGTGTGCTTGTTCTTTGTGCTTCCTCCTTGACTTTGTGCCTTGGAAACTCTGAACTTCTCTTGCAAAGTGAGCTCTCGTGGGTGTATTTCAGTTTGGCCAGGTGGATTTAAGTTTGTTTGGTAGACATATTTATTGGAGCAACTTTCAATCATTTTATGGACTATTGGCCATTGCCTTGTGGACTGATCTTGGTCTGCTTGTGGCTGGATTTATTTGGGACAGTGCTGAGGCTGGGTGAAGGGAATTACTGGGGAACATTAATGAACTCTCTAAACTACACTTATGTGTGTGTGAATGAGTGGGGCAA